TGAAGTGGAACTGGGCCTGAAATCACGAGTAATCACTAACATTTACATGCTGACGTGCGGACCAGGCGGATGCCGGAGCTCTAGAAAGTGCCACGGTTAAGATATTTGAGCTATATTAGATTTTGTACCATAACACTCGATAATGAGAGTCATTATCGCTACATTTAGTCATTAATAAAAATGGAAGAAACAGCATTTGAGCATTATAGCAGAACCTCCCTGCTGGACTATACATGTGATATGTGCTTGGCTCCTGCTCCAGCTGTCTGAATTCATCTGACTCCATTTTCTCACTTCTCTGGGTGACAGAGTTTGAAGTAAGGATCTTTTTGTCTCCCCGCTTTCTTCTCCGTAAAGCCAATGGACTTAATCACAGCAGCAGGGCCCCTTCCCCTGCAGAGCATCAATGACTCGTTACCCATGATAACACGGCAGGACCCTGGCTGACTGAGGAGATGCCTGAATTAAAATCCTGCTTCCATGGAAACCGGCTCAGCAGCTCACGGCGCTGCATCACCTCTGAACCCTTGTATTTCTCTCAAGGCTGTGACAAGTGCTGTGAAGTGGAGCTGGAGATGGAGGGCAAGGCAGGAGAAAGGAGGGAGGAACAATAAAGCTGAAATCTTTTACAAAGGAGATCCAAGTCCATTTTATGAGCTTGCCACATATTCTAGAGTATGAAAAGGGGCCACTGTTACCTCTGTAGAGGCCCTTTAGTTGTTGATGAAAGAGCGTCATGGAGTTATTCAAAGCAGAGCATCTGTGCTGAGCTGATGGAAAGTCCTCCATCCTCATCTTTACATTTATTATATCTTTGGGAAGCACTCGCCAAGTATGAACCAACATAACACAGAAACAGTGCAGAGAGCCTTTCCTGCTCAATCATTCCTTCTCCACTAGCCTCAACTGTTACATGTTCCATCTGCTCTTGATTACCTATACATACATCAAATATTAATGGCTATGAAAACGTGTTACAATGACTTCTAGGAAGGCCTGGTAATTGTCTAATGTATTCAGGCCGTACAAGACTTTTAGATGACTGAATCCTTGTGCTATTTCAGAAACCTCACTCACAGCGTTTCAGTCGCCCCAAGGCCAAAGTTCCACTGGTAATGGTCACAGGGAGAGCCAAAATAAATGCCTGCTGCTTGTTTTCTTTGTGTGTGCGTGTGTGTGTGTGTGTTCCTCCACTCAGGGGCTGTGTACTTCTGAAAAATCAATGCACCAACATAACTTGTAGAAAGAATAAGGGCTAGGAAAAGCTCAGATGTCTGATGGGAACTGTTTCGTGTGATCCGTTATGAAAACTTGCTGCATCATCACACAAAGCAAATCCTGATTATTCAGCATCACGTGCAGTTTTTCAGGCCAACGGCCCCCGCAGAAAGCCAACAAAGACTCCAAACCACTCAAACAGACTTGCAGGATGTCATTACTGTGGTAAACCATCACGACAACCTATAATGTAAATCATCTGAAGAGTGGAAAGACAAAGACGGAACACAAACAGCACAGTGCCACTTTGTAATCCGAGATTTGAGCTAATTGTGATTGACTGAACTCTGATTCTGCACAACGTGGGCTTTTTGTTCTGAAATTGTATGTGTGAGATACTTTTGTAACTCGCAATCTAAAACAGCTGTATATATTTTTCTTTTCAGATTATCTCCGCAGAATGCTTTTGTAAAAAGTGAAGTGAAAATACAAACAACCTTGAAATATCACAAACCTTTACTTTGATGCCAGCTGGGAAGTTGTTCTATGGTAAAATGTTGTTTTTCGTGTTATCAACAGTGATAATAGGAGATGGTAATAGCTCCCTGCACTTATGTTAAGTCTGGGGAGCTGTCAAAACCTAAATCACAGATTTTAATCATTTATATTTCAGTAAAAGGAAGCATAAAAGTCTGATTTCCTCATCCACTTCGTCAGCAGTGAATTCTACCAGCTGGTTAGCCACATTCATATCCTGTATCTCAATGCAGGGGCTATATCCTTCAGAGGCTGCATTTGAAGACTGATTGTGTCACAGTGGTGCGACTAGACTGTCCCATTAGAAAAATGTACAAATGCGTCCTCGAGAAACAAAGGTCCCAACTAATGGATCCCAGGATTCATTGCACCTCGCGAACAAACCGTTTTACAAAGAGGTAATGGTGATGGTAAGACGAACATATGTCTGATGCTCCAGTGTCAGGTTACAACTTAACCGAACCGCTAATGGTGCACATGATAAAGAACAAATGGGCATAAAAACTTTCTAGTTTTGCTGAGCTGCAGTTTCGGAAGCTAGACAGGACAAGCTGGTGACGCCAATCATGGAAATCCTCTGTAGACCAAACAGTCTAACCAAAACGGTTTACGCGGGCCACGAAGTCCCTGCCTCCCTTGGTACACAGCTATAGTGTTACTGTTAGTATAAATGAATAGACTTCCAGTGTTTCACTTAAGTTGTTGGCAGCCTGTTATTATGTGTGTGGAAGTGTGGATGTGTGACAGTGTACAGTCACAACAGAAACGTGAGCATCGCTGTGATTGTGTCCTGGTTGTCCTCTCCATGAAAGAACAGCCTAGGAACCCAGTCATAGATCACAATGTCCAACAGATACAGTTTCTATGCTTTGACAAAAGTACTGTAAGAGTTATGGGTTTTATGGCTCAGCCACTTCCTGCCATCTCACCAGCCTCCACCTCGCTATAGGCAAAAGCCTGTAAAGGAGCGAGCTGACATCCCTCTGGAGGCCTGACAACAACCCACTGGATCCAACCCCGACAAACCTCAACAGCTCTTCTCCTTCTGCCTTCAGCCACTCTCGTCCTCACTCTCTTTTTTTTATTGTTTTGTCGTCAAGTGGGTGAAATATGACAGATCTTTCCTTCACAATGGCTGCAACACATTTCTCCCCTGTTTCATATGTAACCATAGAGCCATCTGCTTTTTCCGAAGCCTTTTCTCTGGCGGGTACGAGTGAGAAAAGGACCTGACAGACACACATGAAAAAAAAACCGGCATAAAGTTTTGTCCCTTTTTCCCACAGAGGCAGCTGTTTGAGTTCAGTAAAAAAAGAAAGGGAGAAAAAAATACTTGTGGAAAGAAAGTGTGTCCTTTTTCGTGGCCATGAGGTAAGTGTTAGTAATTAAAGGGGCTGAAAGCGTGCTTCAGTACATGAAGAATAGTCAGCTCAATCATTTGAAGAAAAGTATAGTACAGAAAATGACATATGCATGTAGAATTCTTAAAAAAAATATTTTCCCCTAGAGAGATCTTCCCTTGATATGGTGAAGCTTAACCAAATACTTTGGGATTCTCAATTTTGAATAGATGGCTTCTTTGGTGAAGAATCTGAAGGCATGGGACAAGAATTTGGGGCCGGAAACTTTCTGGTTTGATTTATCATGTTTGAGCAGGCTTTGATTGCCTGCAGGTAAACAGTTCAGGTGGAGAGCAAAAGAGGCGGAACACATTGACCGAAATGCATCCGCCATCGGCTCTTCATTTATCTACATCCATATGCAGATCACTAGAGATGGACAAATATACCGTCTGGACCTAAGGCACCTACAGAAAGTATATAGGTGCAGAAAGTAAAACACATTGCAGTTGTGTTTTGTGTGGATAAATTATTAATTTGTGACCTTCATGGTGAATGGCTGATGGAGCCTTGGTCCAAGATATCTGCTGTCTACACCGGACACATCATAATATCCACCACTACCACAGGAGCTAATTCGTCATCAGATAAAAGCCAAGGGGTCCGAGATTGGCTGATGGGTAACTAAACAAAAACAGCTCTAATTCGCTTATCTTTACCCAGTCTGGAAAAAACATTGATTTTAAGTCTTTTCAAAGTCCTCATCTGGGTTGCCACAGCAACTCTATATCTCAGAAAGTCAAGATGTGCCATGATCGTCCAGCTGAGTCTTGAATGGTTGTACTGAACCTATCCCAGGATTGACACATAGACATCAGACTGTGGGGGGGGGTTAGAATCACCAACACTGTACGGCTGTTAGTGCAACACTGTCTCTCTGAATCCCGGGTTGTGTGAGGAGAGTCTGCCGAGTGCCGGTCCCAAAACTTTCGTCCATTTAGCCTGTCAGCACTTTCAGCGGGGATAAATGCTGTGCAGTTCCACTCACTTAACTCAGCTTTTCCAGGTCAATCACAAGCCTTTGCAGAGTTCAGTCCCTACACCACCAGCTAGGGGAAAAAAAAAACACCAACACACCCCCCTCACCATCAAACCACCCCTTTCATCCTCTATTTATGTTCCTGCAATCTCAACTGAGCCTTTTCAAATACAGCTGTAACAGTGTTCTACTGTAGGGCAGGGGGGAAGTGGAGCATGCAGGAGATATTAACTGAGCTAAGGTAACACAGGGACACAACTGCTCTTTTTTTTTTTTTTGCTCTAAAGATAATTTAAATAGTTTTCTCCTCTGACCAAATTACACTGACTAGCCAGCGATGTTGAGGAAATACCCAAACAGTTAAAATAGCTCAGACAGTGGTGAAAAAATGCCCTTCCCTGTGCACATGTGTACAGATGTGTCAGGTTCATTCAGTGTTATGTCATTATAACTTCTAAAATGGATGGAGTTCACGACGGAGGTCAAGTCTGCAATCAACAGTGTTCACGTTATAATGTGGCACAAGGAACAAACCCAAACGACTGGTAACATCTAAAAAATATATAAATACACATGCTAAGTATACCAATATGTGGGAACTGGACATTTTAGTTCCCTGTTTTATACTTAAAAAAATAAAATCAGGCGTGGTGGAGACAGTGAAAAACAACCCTGAGAAGTCAGTCAGACAGTTTATTGGATTTAAGGTGAGGGCTTTTGGTCGGGCTTATGTATAATCACAAGTGGCTACATATGTATGGAAAACATGTTTAAGTAAATATAAGAACTTATCCCTTCACACAAATAATTACATTTTTTATCCACTCTACTGTAGTTGCTCAGTAAAATGCCTTTTTGGACCTTACCTCAGCAGCTGGGATGCCTTCAGGTGGCCGACATTGGAGCAACACTTCTTGTTCAAGCGACACTTCCTTCCCAAGAGGTTCCTGGTCAAACGTCTTCCTCAAGTCTACAATGAACACGGACAAAGCACACTGTGCATCAGTATTTAATATGTGCAACAGTAATCAATTATTATCAATATTTGTGTCAGCGGTTTGTAGATGTGAAGGCTGTTCTGAGAGTTATATTAAAAATTATATGCTGAGTAAATCAATACTTGTACTCGAAGACTAAGAATAAATCATTACAAGGGAGCAGCAAGGCAACTCAACATTGGTACTTCCCCTTTTACAACAGCAATACACAACAGTGTGTATTAAAATTGAGGAAACAGTGACAGAGATGTATTCCTTCTTTCTGTGTCCCTCACCTTCAGCACTCACTCAAAGATAAATTGTCTCGACGTAGATGGAAGGAAGATAGGGAGAGGGGGATCACTTGCCCTCCAATGAAAAACCAATATTTTTGTGGTGTGAGAGCCCTGATGGAGTAGTGCGGAGCAGGGATAGAGGAGCTGACAGGGCAGGATTACTGGAGGTGTCATGCTACACTGGAACCCAAAGCCCATTAGACATATTTCATCACCTGCTGCACTGACGGAGACAGGAGAGGAGAAGAACTTTGTGGAGCCATTGGAGCATCACATCTACAATCAAACCTCCAAACTCAACTGATAACGTTTCCACAGTCCCTCCTCACATAAATACTCTTTAGCTCTTTTGGTGACACGATTAGTCAAAAGTAGAGCAGAGCTTTTATTTTTTAAATCAAGGTCTAAGGTTTACGTATGTACACATCTAATATTCAGGATGAGTGTTGTTGACAATGGTAATACATAAACATGCAATATAAACACACAGATACGTAAAAATGTAGATAGAACATAAATAACATTTACAGTGTCAACAGAATATATATAGTGTGTGAAATAATATTGCACATTGGCCATTGAACTGCACAGCAGCAGAAGTAGAAAACAAGCAACTCCTCCATTCAGTCTGATATAAAGTTTATTCGTTTATTTAATATATTGGTCTTAGGCTCACTGTTATTTTTGTCTGTTAAAGCACATTATGTATCCGACTTGAAGCTCGGATCAAGCAACAGGCGGCCAAACTCTTGTAAGAGAAAATGAATGAACCAAACGTGCACAACTGGGACAAAGAGTCAAATAAAATGCTTATATTTTATTTGGTAAATCGCATTGCTCTTTATGAGAATAGCCAGGCATGTCAAAATTCACCTTTGAATAATTTGTTATTTGTTGCCATTTATCCACACTCTTCGATAGTCTGTAAACTGCAAAGAGCAACTCAAGAGTCTAGTATGAAGTGAATCCATAAATAAATCCAGTCCTGATTGCAAAGACACGAAAGGAGGAGACAAACTGCGCAGAAAATTATACTTGTTCTATAATTACAAGCCAGACAGAAATATACATGTTAAAAGGCTGTGTGATATTTCAACCACTCCACTCTGAGAAAAGAAGGTGCAAACAGTGGGAGAGGTGTTGAGAGCCTGGCTCTACTTTGCATCAAAAGTTTTCTGATTAAAGAAACACCGAGACATTCGATTTATCTTTCTACCTACATGGCAGTGTCCATGGAAACAAACCCCAAAACAAGTTGCAGCGACTCAATCTGTGGACAGGATATGGTAGAATGTCTTCATAGAACACTATCAATGTAGAAATGGATTTCTATTGACATTGTGTGCTGAGATAAAAATAAAGGATATATTTGATAGCCCTACCACAGCGTACCTGTTTTGAGTTCAAGGTTTTACAAGAGAGCTCCACTGAAAGAATACGCACATGTGCGAGGACACGGATTGCACGGTATAATTTCTACATCAGAAGATGAAGCATGCTGAACATAATAAGTCTTCTTACTCTTGGGAGCAGCGGTTGTGGAAGTGTAATAGGACACTGTGCACATATACTGTATCTATTATAGTAAATAAATGCTCTGCACGGCCCAGGGAGATTTAAGTATGTGTATGAATTTATATACAGCATAAGTATGAGTAGTAAGGGCAGAGCATACAGTAATTCTCACAAATCTATTTTCTCACATTATCACCTGCGATAAAGAGAGACATCCCTGGAATTTACTGATTTCATCACATGCCTCCTTTTTTTTTATTTCAAGAGGAGACATAATATTTAAATAGAGACACTTCATAGTTCAGCTAACTGTTCCAAATCCCCTACAGGAGAAACTAGATCATGTTCCTATTACAGAATACACCATCAGACTACACCCCGAAGACATCCATCAGGATTTTAAGGTTCTCCTATTTTTGAAAAATGAACCTTAAAATAACAAATTAAATGAGAGTTTGTCCCAGTGCTACCTGAGACTGTGTGTGTCTTCAGGGGAATATGCCATAACTCCCCAATTTTTAATGTATTATAAAAGCTGAGAGGGGGACTGCTGAATTGAAAGTAGTTTCCATAAATGTCTGGTATGAAATTAAAAGACAGAATGACTGGAGGGACATATTCTGGGACCTGGCTTTGTGGATTGTGATTCAAGGACAAAACGATTGTTTTGAGAGGAAAAGAAAGGTAATAACTTGGCAAGGAAGCAAAGGAAAGGAAAGGAAATGGAAATTGTAAGAATAGAATATATGAGTCATTCTTCTGCTGTCAGTACTGTCCATTGCCCCAAACATGTGGAATTGAGCAAAACTTCCTTAAGCTGAGAAACACAAAATGTAACATCCACTTATAAAATCATGAACAGGAAAATAATACCATACTCTGTCTTCTGCAGTTAAATTCTTCAGTGTTAACCTCAGCCTGTTACCATCACTAAGAGTCTGCACTATTGTTCACAACCTAAAATTGACTAAATAGCCTGAATTACACTGATAACATTAACAGCACAGGCCGTTGTTTGTGAGTTCACTGTACATATTGATGCTGTTATTACTCCGCCTCTTGTAGATCAACTCCTTAGGCTAAAACTAAACACTTGCTAATTGCATTGTTTGTTTATTTCAGGATTTTGCAAACATGCAAGTGATTATTGTGCTCAGCTTATTTTTTTTATTGTTTGTGGGTTTAAATCATGCATGTCTGTCCTCTCCTCACTTCTCGTAAAGCCAAACGGTTCTGTGGGACACTGCAGGGCGTGGGACCAGCTGAGGTGACATTCCTGCGGGACACACACCATTCCCTCCTCAACACACAAACGCTTCCAGCCGCGCGCACACCCCCCAGGAAGACGCACACATGACAACCATTATCTTCAGCGGGCATGTTCGGCTACTTGCTGGCAACAGCTACTAGCACTGGAGCAGTCTAGATTAGGAATAAAGAGTGGCCAGATTTGGGTTTAAATAATTACGAAAATGAGTAATAAAATGCAGGTTTTTACCCTGTGTGTGTGTGTGTGTGTGTGTGTGTGTGTGTGTGTGTGTGTGTGTGTGTGTGAGAGTGTGTGAGTGTGTGTGTGTGTGAGCACTATTAAAAAGGTCCAAAACAATCCTGAAAATGAATTTCAAGCTTTTTAAGTAAACATTACCTTCCAGCAATCTTTTGAAATGCATTTCCACTGATTTGATTCATTTATTTAATTTCCTTCTGTGCACAGACTTTTATTGTTCCTATTTTGGCAAGCAATCACTGCTGCCCCCCTGAAAAATGGAGGCCAATTAAAGCTGTTTTGTGGAGGTCACATGAAGGAAAGAACATCAAAAGGAATTAACACATTCTCTCTTTCCTTCAACGAGTGCACGGTGACAGTACCTTCAGCCCGTCTGCAAGCCAACTCCTCGACACAACAAACTCTTAACTCGCCAGTGCTGGCTCTGACTCACCGCCTGATTAAACTGAAACTATATGTTTAGATTATGGGAAAGGAGAGGAAAACAAGCCCAGTTTCCATTAGCCTAACAGGATGGAGTCTGGCTCTGACAAGAAGCTCTGCTCGGGGAGAGAGAAGCCAGTCGAGGAGCTAATCCATTCAGCGGAGGCTAATGGGAGGGGAAGAGGGGTCCATTGTGATTTGAGGAATAGGTTAGTGCTGGCAGGCTGCTCATCATGGATGATTATAGGAGGTGGAGCAGCGGGAGTGGGCTCAGTGGGAGACTGAGAGGCATCATTCTGATTCACCGGCCTATAGTGCAACAGCAGCAGTCACGAGAGGAGCTGCTGGTGTTTGATATAAATTACATAGGCTGAATTTAGAGGGAAACTGATCAGAAAACATGGGTCAATCAGCACCAGAGGGAGTTAGAGAGTCATCAATATTAAAGAAAACACCAAAGAAGAGAATTAGGTGGGAGAAAAATCTCAGAGGAACGTGATTGTAAATGTTGACCGCCTCTAAATATAGTAGATAAGGTGGAAACAATGGAAATTGACTCTACACTGTGCGATTCGTCTGTACAGTGGATCATTTTAACAGAAGCCAAATATATACCACTTCAGCTGGCTCCACACATCCAGTTGTGTCTGCTAACAATTAGCATATAGGTTTGTGCGACTCCATTG